AAACACCTCTGGCCGGGAGTCAGAGCGGAGGCTGCAGGAACGGGCCCTGCTCTGGCTTCTCTGAGCATCCTTGTGCAGGATGAGATGAGTCTCCTGGGCCATGTGCTGAGCTCACCAGGGGCCGAGAGCCGCCTGGGCCTTGAGCAACTATTCACAGTACGGTGCTGGAGGTGCTGGAGCATCCATCACCTGCTGAGGGCAGGGCTTGCCATGCCTTTAGTGTCCTGCGGAGCCACAGGATGCAGCACCTTAGCCGTTTATTTGCCTTAGGCCAAGAGATAATCCCGCTCTGGTCCTTGGCAGCTGGCACTGCCGCTGGCACTCGCCGCCTCTTGCCCTGGGGCATGGTGCTCAGCTGCCATGGGTGGCCCGGGCTGGTGGCTGTCCCCCATCACGTCGCCATCTGTCACGCAGGCACCTGCAGCGCAGGACCTGGCTTCACGTTCTCCTCTAACTGCTACTTTTTTTTTCCCCCCCTTCTTTCTGTTTTGGCGGACTGAAGAGCGAGAAATACATCGATCTGAGAAACTAGAGAGGGAATCTACTAAGTGCTTTCTTCCTTCAAACCTTTCCTGCTCTTGGATTGCCTTGTCCCACCCCTGCTCCAGTACCTGGGGAGCACAGCCGGAGATGAATACTGCGTCGCAGTGCTGAGACCCCAGCACACAGGGGGGTGCCCCCCGACTCACCTGTCTGTTACCTCAACCGTGGGCTTGCGGGTTGTTGACTTAGCAGCAGCAAAGCCGGATTCGCTTCCTGCTCCGGAGAAGCCAACAGCAATATTAGAAAGAAATATCCCATTAAGCTACCTGGTGGAAGGATTTGAGGCTTTTTCAGGAAAACTGTCCTGTACGCGTGTGGGAAGGTTTTGATGTGTTTTACCCCAAACCTGCTCAAAAAAACTGGTGAAATTTTACTTCTGGGATGTCCCAGGCACCTTAGATGTAGTGGCGTGCAGGTTAGATGACGGCAGGGTGGAAGTGGTGTGTTAGAGCGGCGTTTGCAGGTGCTTGGGGAGGTGTTAGTGCTTTGCTTTTCCTTTTGAACTGTTCTTGCCTTGGTTTAGCCCGGATCGGGTAGGTGTGATCCTGCGAGAGGCAAGTACCTGGCGGAGCAGGGGCCGGGGGTGCCCGTCTCTCGGGCACGTGCCCGAGGAAGGTTCTTTGGTTTGTAGCGTAGCCGTGCTGATGCGGGCGGTGGGGGTGGCAGGGGCTTCTCTCTCTCCCCCTTCCCCAAGGAATTGGATTGCATTTAGGGAGGCTGCACAGCCGCTGGCAACAGCAGGTCCTGGAGCCCCCCACCAAATTTAAGGAGTATTAGGCCAGGGCCAGTCGGTGATGTCTCAGGGTTATTTTTTTTGTGCTGAACAACTACCAGCCCCAGGTAACACTGGTTTATTTCTGTGCTGCGGTGGCATCTCTGGCCCCCGAAGCAGGCCGGTGCTACAGTGGTGGAGAGGGGCAAGCAGCCTGCCTTTAGCTTCCGCTGCCGCGGCGAGCCCCAGCCCTCCGCCTGCAAACACGGCTCACTCCCCTGCCTCCTCCTAGGGAGACCAGCCCCTCTCAGTCACCTCCTCTCAGTGCTGTGCTGTCCGCAAGCCTGACAACCCCCCCAGCCCTTGGGCAAGGTGCTGAGGCTCACCCCGGGCGACAGACGTCCCCTCACGCACCCCCAGCACCCTCCGTAGCAGGGAGCCGCGCAGCAGCCCGGCGGCCAGCACCCCAACAAGCGGTGAGCTATACGCCTGCGCTACCAGTGTTGTCGAAGCAGAAGCTTTGGTTTATATATATTTTTGTTGGATTGTGTGTAAATTTCCAGAAGTTTTTGTCTGATACTTGCAAGGTTTGTTTTTTTTATATATATATGTGAAAATAAAGTACAAAGTACAAAGCCGGGATCTGAGTTTGTTCTCGCTTGGAGCGGCCCCACCAGAAGGGTAAGGGCAGCGTGTCTCCCCGACCCACTCCGTTGGGAAGCTCCCTTCCCTGGGAACAGGTTACCAAGGTCGGGCAGCACCCTGCGCGCTCCTACCTCGGGAGGTTGAGGCAGGAAGATGCTAAAAGAAAACACTGTCAACATCACTGATCCCAACGGTAGAATCTTATTAGTTGTATTAATAACTAATATAGATACTAATAACTACTCACAGGTAAGTTATCTCGGGATTCTAACAGACATCCTAGTAAATAATTGTATTGATAGCAGATATGGATCGGTAGACAATTTCTTAGATGCTAATAACAATAGCTTTTAATAGGTTGTTGCAGTAAGACACGGACAGTTCTGTTAGAAGATTCTTATTGACTGTGAGACTAAATTGTACGGCTCGCTACTAAGTATACTAACAGGGAATTCCATTAATGAACTCTAATAATTGTAAAAATAATTGCATTAATAACTAGTATCTATAGTTCTGTAAGTAGATTTTGTTATAGATTCTACTTGACTATTGAATTTCTAGCTAATACAGAAACTAATAACTACTTAATGAGTTATTATATACTGGTAGATTATACAAGATGATCTTATTACCAGGTATTGTAGATACTAATAAATCTACAAATACATTCTGATAAATTCTGATAGATTATTTTTGGACCAGCTACTGTAACTACTACTCTTAAATAACTCATCACAGAATCACCGAATGGTTTGGTTTGGAAGGGACCTTAAAGACCATCTAGTTCCAACCCCCCTGCCATGGGCAGGGACACCTTCCACTAGACCAGGTTGCTCCAAGCCTCATCCAGCCTGGCCTTGGACACTCCCAGGGATGGGGCATCCACAGCTTCTCTGGGCAACCTGTTCCAGTGCCTCCCCATCCTCTCTGGGAAGAATTTCGTCCTGATATCTAATCTAAACCTCCCCACTTTCAATTTAAACCCGTTACTCCTTGTCCTGTCACTACCGGCCCTTGTAAAAAGTCCCCCCCAGCTTCCTTGTAGCCCCTTCAAGCACTGGAAGGTGCTATAAGGTCTCCTCGGAGCCTTCTCTTCTCCAGGCTGAACACCCCAACTCTCTCAGCTTGAGCCTATAGCAGAGGGGCTCCAGCCCTCTGAGCATCTCCGTGGCCTCCTCTGGACTCGCCCCAACCAGCTACCTGTATAACTCCCCTCCGTAGATAATAATATATAGTTCTATTATTAGAATCTACAAGAAAACTTTTCTACTTGCTGCTGTCATTGCTGACAATTACTGATAGACTTTTGTTTTAATAGAATTGATTATAAAAAAGGCGTGTACAGTAGTTGTTATCGCTGTAATATTTTAGACTAATAGAATCAGTGCACAGAATGACGTGTTAACGATAGCTACTGCAAACACTAATAATGCTAAAACCAGCTCCGTTAGCGGATTCCAGCGAACGCAAGTAACTCTGAGTATCTGCTGTGGAGACTGATAGTTACTCACCGCTACGTGCAGTATTAGAGACGATCACGGTCTAACAACGTTTTACTGGCAATGACAGACTAATAACCACTAACAAATAAATCCAACAATTAACCCTGCGGCGTTGTCTCTGATTCCGTAACATACCTGGGTGGAGGCTAACAAACAGTAAGAGCTCTGTCAACACACAGCTCGTTGGAATGCCCGAGGCGGCACGAGATCACGGCACAAACACCTCCAAGGGGTAGTAAGAACCAGGGGTGGCTCCTAGATGCTCAGACTCGGACATAATTCAACTTCTGGATGACACCACAGGACCCTGAGTGACCCAGGTCACTCCTTTCGTTTCATTTAATTAGACTGATGGTACTCGATACAATTCAACACCACGCACCCAGCAGTGGGCTCCAGATCATAATAGTGAACACCCGTGTTCTCAGGTGACCCCAATTAACCTCATTTAACCCCGTGTCCTCATTTGACCCCACAGTGACCACTTTGTGGGGTTCTCGTGACCTCCAGTAACCCCTGTGTCCTCATTTGACCCCAATTAACCTCATTTGAACCCACAGTGACAGGTGGATCCTGACATGTCGGTCCTGCTGTGCTGGAGCTGTCACGAGAACCCCACAGAGCGGTCACTGTGGGGCGAAATGAGGTTAATTGGGGTCAAATGAGGACACAGGGCTTACTGGAGGTCACGAGAACCCCTCTAAGTGGTCATATTGGGGTCAGACGAGGACACGAGGTCAAATGAGGACACAGGGGTTAC